AAATTAAACTTCTAAAACCCTAATTCTCTCCTACAAGGAGAAGAAGCAGTCGCCGACAGTCACCAGCTACAAGGTTTCTGCTCGTCAACGTTGTAAGTTGTTTCCTGTCTCTTCAGTGTTTTGAAAATTTCGTAAGGAAATAGGTGAAAGTAGTATCTTTTGTAGTAACCCTTCTCGAAATTAGAGAGCTTAATTCCCGATAGATAGTGATTTTGGGTGCGAATCTTATCGTTGTTCTTTTATGCAGCAGTGAGACTTTGTGGGTATTGAGCGGTGAAGATGTTATCTCAAAATGTTCCGACAAGTAAGGGCAATAGAAATGAGCCGAAGAAACAGAACAGAGATGTTGAAGATGGGAATGACATTGGGGGGTCTGATGATGACGCTAGGGTAAAGAGAAGGAAGAAAGAGATGGAGAAGAAACAAGAGTTGGAACAAGTTGAAATGAAGAAGCTTGAGGATTTGTTGTTCGGGTCTCTCTACTCTCCTGTTACGTTTGGTAAGCAAGATGGTGGTGATAAGGGATTTGAAGAAGAAGCAGATGGTTCTGCTTTGTTTCGTGTAGACCGTTCTGCTGCAAGGCAGCCTACGGATTACGAGGTGGATTACGAGGATGATGATGAACAACATTCTGATGAAGAGAAAGATAAAGCCGATGGAGTTAGAAAAAAGGGAGAAGCTGCGTGGGAGGATGAAGAAGAGAAACAACTAAATATAAATATATCTACTGTGAACCGTTTGAGGAAGCTACGGAAAAAGGAAAATGAGGGTTTGATCTCTGGTTCTGAGTACATTGCAAGGCTGAGAGCTCATCATGCTAAGATAAACCCGGGGACAGATTGGGCTCGGCCTAATGCCCAATTCACTGATGGAGAGTCTTCAGATGATGATGATACACAGGATGGAGGAGTTGATGATATCCTCCGAACAAATGAAGATCTTGTGGTGAAGTCTGGTGGTGCCAAGCTGTGTTCTGGTCTTCTTGAGTTCTCTAAACTTGTTGATGCCAATGCAGCGGATCCTTCAAGTGGCCCAATAAACTCTGTCCACTTCCATCAAAATGCTCAGCTGCTTCTCACTGCTGGATTGGATCGACGGTTGAGGTTTTTTCAGATTGATGGTAAGAGAAACACTAAGATCCAGAGCATTTTTCTCGAGGATTGTCCCATTCGTAAAGCTGCTTTCTTGCCCAATGGCTCTCAGGTCATTGTCTCTGGGAGAAGAAAGTTCTTTTACAGCTTTGATCTGGAGAAAGCAAAGTTTGACAAAATCGGTCCTTTGGTTGGTAGAGAGGAGAAAAGCTTGGAACAATTCGAGGTGTCACAAGACTCGAACACCATCGCTTTCGTGGGCAACGAAGGCTACATCTTACTTGTGTCCACAAAAACAAAAGAGCTGACAGGAACCCTAAAGATGAATGGTACAGTCCGGTCCTTAGCATTCAGTGATGATGGGAAGCAGTTGCTGAGCTCAGGAGGCGACGGGCAAGTTTACGTCTGGGATCTGAGAACAATGAGATGCTTATACAAAGGCGTGGACGAAGGCAGCACGTGTGGCACTTCTCTTTGCAGTTCGCTAAACGGAGCATTGTTTGCCTCAGGAACAGACCGAGGAATCGTAAACATTTACAAGAAATCTGAGTTTGTGGGAGGCAAAAGAAAGCCGATAAAGACAGTAGACAATCTCACTTCCAAGATAGATTTCATGAAGTTCAACCATGATGCTCAGATTCTAGCTATAGTCTCTACGATGAATAAAAACAGCGTAAAGCTAGTTCATGTCCCGTCTCTAACCGTGTTCTCAAACTGGCCACCGCAAAACACCACGATGCATTACCCTCGCTGCTTGGACTTCAGCCCCGGAAGTGGCTTCATGGCCATGGGAAACGCTGCAGGAAAAGTTTTGCTGTATAAACTGCATCATTACAAGAATGCTTGAAAGTGGCCTTAGCAAGGGCAGTTTTGAAATTGTGTTTTTTAATGTCGTGTTACTCTGTTATCAATTACTATGCTTTTATTTTCGATCAATGAATGTTTTTTTTTTTCTTCTGATTCTTTGGATTAGTGGGCTATATATAGCATATATAAGAGATATTATAATAAGTGGACAAAAAAAGAAAAAAGAGATATATAATAAGTTTACAATAATTTTAAAAAAATATCTAAGAGAAAATAGAAAAACGAATCTATATAAAATATCCAAACAAATTTATTTGAAAAAGAGAATCCAAAATTTTTATAACAAAACAACTATGTGAAAATAAAAAATCATATTCCAAACCAAATATTCCAAACGACGACATGCCAAGACACGACGTGCCACAACAATGATCTTATTAGATTAAGATATTGATTTATTTCATAAGAACCAAAATTGGTAAACCTAATTTTTTCTATATACGATTTATAGAAATTTATGCAAATAAAGACTCAACCTTCTTAAAAAATTGATTCCTCCAAAAAAAAAAAAAATAAGCAGCCTAATTATCTCATTTCCGAATTGCGTTTTTATGACACAATTTTCATAATTTGGGTAAACATAACAATGTATAGTTTTTGCCTCTTCAACTAACTCCTCCCATAACGACGACATGCATAGACGTTTCGAACACTTGTCCTGTAAAATCATATTATGACTGATTTTAGTGATGACGACATAGATCATTCGTTCACTATTTGTACATTTGATTTGTAGGTGTTTAAGTACAACGTGAGAGACAAAATTGAAAATTCTAATTTGTTTCTTTATACTGTTGCGTTTGAAT